AACTATGGACGTATCGGATTCTGCGGTTTAAATTTACAATTCAATAATGCAGCGTCGAGTGAAAAATTACGTTGCTGAAAATTATAAATTATAAATACATACAAATTTGCAAACAACACACAGAGCAAAGATAATTTTGTAAGAAATTAAATGTTACGGTAGAAAAATAACTAATATGCTAGTTCCTTTTCATTTGATTGTAATCAATATAAGGTAATTTAAAATTACATTATTATAATGTAAATCAAAACCGGCTGCATCCGTAGTCCAAAATAGTATGCCCAAAATCAAATAATTCTTGTCTGAATACTCGGTATGCAAATTTGTAACTGATATCGTAATGATAAGCATTTCGCTACAAGTTTCGTCTTAGATTACTGATTTGGTTTGTATGTACACATACGTCTTGCGCTTTGTGGCTTGCCGTTGTGGACACCATATAACATATACCTCAAAGTTCGTAACTACAAGTTCCACGTTCAAGTTTGTGACACATCTCGTTCCGTTCTAATTATACATTCAGATATGTACGTCAAAATATACGTTAGAACATTATATCACTTAAATCATTAGTGTCGTATGCGATATGATTGATCGCAATTAAATTTCATTTTGTCTTATCGGAGATTTGTAATGCAGATCATCTTTCATCACAGCTCTCAATTTTCTACATTTCAAGTTATTTCATCTTTCAGTCATAGTATCTCAAAAATGGTCAGTCAGTTTGCCCCGTAATTTTAAATTATGCATGTGGAATAAATTATCAGGCGACACAGCGGCTGCTTTAAATTCCGCATAAATGCGCGATCACGAAAATCGCGCAAAATCCCTTTCATCAAAGAATGTCTATATTAAATATTCCGTCATGCCACCTCATTTTCGACGGAATTGTCGACGGTACACGAAATACATGCAAATTCCGCCAGAGCATTCAAATACCACTGGTATACTTCCTTGTACCAGATATGTGTTATCATCTGAAAAACTTTCCGTGTCCCATTTGTTCCATTCGTACAAATTCAGGTACCAGTTCTATACAATTTTTTAAAGCTTCATTGCCCCTAAATGAATTCTATGATGCATAAAACGATGAAATACGATTGTATGAAATTATATTGAGACATATGGTAAGTAAATAAATATTATTTAAATTTATTTGTTTTTTTATATTTACTTGTTAAATGAGAAAGTAAAATATATTATATTGTCAATATTTTTTAGAACCTTATATTAAAATAAATAACGATTTATTTAAATGTTTAAAATATATAACGTTTAAATAACAACGCGCGTATATGTGTAGGTGTATCTCTACTCAGAAAAAGACATAAGTATAACTGTATATCATAGAGTACAAATTTAAAAAATAAACATATAACTTATCTAGAAATTACAGCAGATATTTTATGTGTGTGAATATTTATATTCTCCTCTATTTTATAAAAATATTTTATATAGAATATATGATCAATACGTTATGTAATAATAAGTAATACATCCTTTTTCATTAATGTTTATAAATATAACTACTTTGTATATTGATCTCTCACATCAGATATATTTTTTGTCCTTGTTATACCTTATATTTGATTTTTATACGTAAAAACATGAAGCTCGGATAGTTTAAAAGAAAACAAAACCTGATTTTTAAGTATTTTTTTTTCAAATACAGCGAGAATGGCAGATCCTTTTTTTGGAAACTTCTCTTTTCTCGTTAAATTCAAGTAAGTTATTTTATTGTTCTATTTTATTTCTTGCATTCGCATTTCTCACGCTTGAACAAGACCATCGCTCATAGTCTGTTTAAACTCGCTCAGTAATTTAATCTTTAAGTTGGCTTGAAAGTAGGTATGTCTACATCAATAAATCGAATTTAATGCACAATGGAATATTGAAAAAATAATTAATATTTATAAGCCACACGCGCCAGATCAGAAAAACCGTCAGGAATGTAATCTAGACTGAAAATTAACTGTCTACGCGCGTGCTATCGTGCTCAATAACTCAAAATTTACGATCACGTGAGAGTTAATTATCGCCAACCCTGAGTCCGTCTGGAAAAGCGCTGACGCGAGCCCGTAAACTTTCCGTCGCTAATTTCTAATGCTTTCTGTTAGAATGAAATTCCGAAGCGATCGTGCGGATCGCGAAGAGAGACATTCGGATCGAAAGTCCGCTGGAGTTGGAATCGGCACCCTTCTTATCCGTATCCGCTTCCATCGCAAAGTCGCCACTTTCGACGTAATCGCGCCACGTGAGTAGATACGTGACTGCGAATAAAGGACCATCGATCGTGATTGAAAATAGAAAATACAGGCTTATACGGCTATGTAATCTTTTTGAATCGATCACTTGTCAGGAACGCGATGTCACAGCGAAAAGGTCGCCGTCGTGGTCAATTAAATCAAAGCGCGAGGTCGGTTTCAACATCAGCATTATCATGATACAATTTCCCATTTCCTCTCTTCCTATTGTCGAGACGACGAACAGATAATGTCGTTAACGATATGCATCAAGAACATGTCTCTGCGAGTATATATGTGCGAGTTACGTTACGTCTTGTATCGGAGTTACAACTTCTCTCCCTGCATTCGTATATAACACAAAATTTCTGATAAATTTGTAAAAACTACCCCGGTATTATAAAATACATAAATTAATATCTGTTCGTGAGTAATTTATGTATTAACGTTAAGCTTTGATAATTACGTAATCAAGGCGAGAAATTTTCCTTAGATTATATAAAGAAGGATATATGAAGTAGTCGGTGTGATCTATATATAGATTAAGCTTAAAATAAATTTTATTCTACCAAATTGGTATTTTTATTCTTGTAGTATGACTCTGTTTCTAAGCGGAGATAACGAATGTAAGAAATGATGATAAATGAGAGCTGCAACATGCGGTTTGGCTAGATGTTTTTATTTTCAATTTTCAACGCGATAAGTATATGAGTCGAAACTGATATGTGATGACATGATTTATTACTTATATGACGACACCGCAGTTTTAGCTTGTGAAATTCTCATTCAGTGAGAAAGTTTGGATCAGTCCGATCTCGTCCAGCAACTTCTCCTATCGGAATATTCAAAGAGTAACAGAATTTCGATAGTTCTCTCGTTACAGTATTGAATGCGATAAACTACACGTGTATAACCTGTCGAATGAATTTCATAATGATTTTCCAGCAGGATTACAACTTGAAGTTGTTAACGAAACTCTATTTTCTGATATTATAAAAAAATCAATCAACGTTAATTATTTTAACTTTCAAGTTGTAATCCTAATTGTTTTTCTTCATACAATTATTTTTACTTTTTACGCTGTTTATTACCTGCTGTTGTATTATATTTTAATAACTTTCCTATCGAAGAACCATCCGGTCTCATGCTAACGACTGAAAATAACATTTTGTTGTAGTGTGTATATTGAGAGTATAACAGTAGAATTAGAATATTGTGACGCATGATATAAACGCGTACGTGTCGTTCTCTTGTATTCTCCATTTTATCGTTCTTTTATTTTTCCCAAAAGCGCGAGCGTTTCGTCAAAAAGAATTTTAGTTTGCTACAGAATCGCATATCGATCACTTTACTCTTTGAATACTGATGAAAGAACAATCGTTTTAATGAGGCACTTTGTTCTCCTTACTTACATTATCTTTCTTCTGTTATCTCCATGATCAAAGATGACTTTGACAATCACGAATCACGGATTATTCAGGTCTTTTACTGCACGTGTTGAAGAAATGCGCAAAACTAAATGACATTTTACGAATCTGGCAGTTTCGTCACGTTTCTGCACACAAATTTTACTCTCTTGGGACCTTTCTCTGCGAGCTTTAGCTAAGAAAAAATTTATGCAAATTAGTGCAAAATTAAACGAATTTTCAAAATCAAGTTGGTTAATTAATGTAAGCTCTTATTTGTGATAACACATATATAAATGAACTTGAATAATAAAATTTCTTTGACTAACGTCGATTTAATGTACTATAAAATAATATGAATATACGTGTGTTATTTCATATTAAAACGAAGTAGATTTAAACTAATGTTTTTACATGTAATTATAAAATAAATGTATACAAATAATCCCCACGGCAATATCAAAATACACGTTATTCTAATAAACATGAATATGTAAACAATATAAAAGTTTAATTTGTTCTATTTAATTAATTTATTTTTATTTGCATTAATTTATTATAGCTATAATTATATTTATATAATATCAGTATATGTACATTGTTATAAAAGAGCTAAACCATTTTTCATTGAATTAAAAAGATAAAAGATAATTCACTTTACAAGCATATATTTATATAAATTTAAATCTTGTAGGATCGACGCGTGAACTCACTAATAATATGAAATAAAGGCCTAATGCCGGTCGAAAAGCTAGATCTTAATTGCTTTTTAAATAATTCAAATGTGAATTATATATATATAGTACTATATATGTATACTTGCATATATACCATATTTATAGTCATATTCACTACACGCCGAAATTTTTCTGGACTTTACAAGATATATTTATATATTTTGTATTTACACACTCATTGTACTGAACGAAAAGACGTCGATTAATAAAAAGAGATTTCTATAAAAAATATACTTCAAATCGTTTGAAAATTTGAAATTTTCGTCGTTTAGAATCTCAAACTCGGCGAACAATATCGCACGCATGGTGCAATTAGATTTCGATGGAAGATAATTCCACCATTATCGCACATTCGCCGATAATTGGCTAATATCTAGCTAAAAAGATAAATACTTTGTGATAGAAAATTAATGATAGATTAATCTTACTTGAAAATCTTATATTAAATAAAAATACTCTCAAGATACTTTCTCTCAATTATGATTTTTAGAAGTAGATAAATTTTAATCATAAAATTAAACGTTAAGATATTGGAAAAAAGTTATCAACCCTTTTTTTTATTAACTCATCGATTTTTCTCGTGTGACGCAAATTGAAGTCACGTCGATTTGCAAACTAAATTGGTTACGTGTTTATCCAGTAACGAAACAAACGAGCAATTATGTGATAGTTCCGTCAGTTCCGCCATTACTAATGCCCAGGAATACAGATATTCGGCAATAGACTCTAAGCACTATCAGCGAAAGTCTTTAAAGTATATCCGTCTCTTAATTCACGTCGACAACGTAACGGAGGCATTTTATCGCGGAATGTGAAGACATCCATCTGATGCTCGATAAAGGATCACCCCTCCCATTGCTGAGGATCTCGTTTCCGTGGAGCGAAAGGTTTCGACTGTGACTCGTAAACCGGATCTATCATCCAATAGACATGATAACGTCTGCATACAGTCTGAGTTCTTTCATTTGATTGAAATTCAATATTTTATTTACGCTGGCTTTCGCAAAAAGCCAGAATACTTTGATCGAAATATCCGCGTAAGCTCCTTAACTCTATCAAGAAAGCTCTTCTCTTTCTGATGAAAATGAGACGGTCTCATATGCGAACCTCGTCTTTTGCGTCGTAACAAGTCGATCTGATCAATACATTTTTCGCCATTATTGCTTATGACTTGCATATAGCAGTATTATACTTAATATTAGATTGCATGCTGTACTGCCCATGCTTTATGTTTGCTCGGAAATTCATGTAAGAGAAGAGAATCGAGAATTACGTCCGTGATAAAAATTACTCTTGCATACGCAATGCCAGTGAACGAACCGGATGAGGAAATTTTTGAAAGAGATCAATCACAGTATCAGGTTAGTTGTACCCTGCACGAATTTATTAGAATGTACCGTGCATTAAGTCGAATCGCTTTACTAAATCGTTTTAATGGTTGTATAAATATGAGAAGATGAAACGGAATTGCATTGACATATCTATATTAGGTTGTTAATAGCGCACGTCACGAAGAAAATGACAGAATGCTAGCAAAACAGGAAGTAATCAACGAGAACGGCGAAACCTGGATATCTCCGAGTGAGTTAATCAATTCCCATCTTGCATATTCGTTTACGTCGCACTAAATTTTCTGATAATCTCAAACACACACGAATGTACAGAAACTCGTTTTGTATGCTGTTAATTAATTAATAAATTTTAATTAACCTCTGATTACAAGACAGGAAGAAGTGATTAAATAATTTATTTGCTCTTTATTTTCTTCTCTTCTTTTGTAAACAAATATATATCGAATAAACATAATTATAGCTGACCATGAAGAATTTTAAAATACATGCGTATTTTTTATTCAGTAGCAATCAATCGATCTCGATTTGTGTTTTTAATTTTATATTATTTAAAATCCATTAAGAAAAGAAATTATCATTCAATTCGTTCGAATTTATATCGAGTCATTTGTTTACTTTAACTCTTTGACATTTCGTACTGATATGTCCGTCGGCGTAATCGTTGAAATAAATAACATTTAAGATTATTATTAGTTCGCAATAGCATGTGCAGTAGCATACGCGAAATTTATGTGGGTAATTTTCTTTTGGTCTTGTAACTCTTTGATGAAAAACACATCATTATATGCACACAGGATGAAGTTTTGCGAGACGAATAGAGAGATATAAGATTGCAGAAAATGTTGACTTAAAAAACCAGATTTCGTTTGAAGATTGCGTATTCGTACTCGATATGAAACTTTGAAGGAGTTATTTCGTGATTTATTTTACCGTAACATTTGCGACTCGATCTAAAAAAAGTGTTCGTCAAACTATATAAGTGTAACTTCTCTGACTTACAGTTCATCGCGGTGTGATGAATGAGATTACTTTCGTTTGATCTTTTCTCCCAAGAAATTGAATTGGTGTTTTATATATATATATATATATATAAACTTGCGTTCATGAATCGCGTTTCAATCGCGAGATTCATTCGTATTTATTGTTGCCGTATTTATTGCTATATGTAGGCGGACTAAGTATCGATCGATTTGCCAATCGCGATATACAGAAGTGGTTTATTTAGAAAGGTAAACCATGAAACGCGATCGGTTGTATGCATCATTGCATTGATTTCGCGTTTATTTACTAAAAACACTAATGGTATGTAGGTATTATAAACATTAAAATGCAACGTGTTATTGATTTTTTATGGAATCCAATATCAATATAACCAGATGCCATAATTAATATAAAAGACATCTCATCTTGAAATAAAATATAGTTTCCGAAACGATAACAGATTCTGCTGGTACTCGACGGATTAGCCCATCAAGAACAAAGAAATTACCGGAGTTATCTCGAACGACATCGAGGACGGAAGCCGTTAGGCAAGATGTCAGGAGGTTGAAGAGCGCCACGTTGGATAGAATGGGGAAGATGTTTAGAGCGCGTACGCCTGCTGTGGGAAGGTCTTTTTTAGGTTTGAATACTGTAAGTATCCAAACCTTTTAATTGAAAATATAACCTTTGATTGAAAATATAATCTCTTTTGTCGTGAATAACTTTTACTAAATAATCTAGCCTTTGAGAAATTTAATGGGTTCTGAATGATAATATTTAATATATTTATTGTTATGTTATAATTAAAACGTACGTATTTATATTAAAAACTATAATAATTTTCTTAATAATCTGATTTATCTCTAAATTTGTCGGTAATCTCATTAGTATATAACACGAATGTGTAATTGATTGTTTAATTAGGACCAGTGAAATGCATGTCAATACATTAATCGCTAGATACTAGATTGCAAAATAGAATTAATTAATCGAGACTACATTTACATTAAAAATAATTGGATATATCTAATATAATAAACTAAATTTTAAAGTAACGTTGTTCTTATATGTAATTTGAATAACTTGATGTAAAAGTTTCAATTAATGCTGTTACTTTTGACAACTTTGAAGATTTGAAAAAAGAATTTGAATCTTTGAATTTAATTGCAAACTTTTGAAGTTTAAGGTGTCTTCAAAGTTGTGAAGTTTGATGTTAACTTTGAAATTTCGGAAAATATATTGGTGCGAAAAAAAAAGTTAAAATATATTGTGGAAGTTTTTAATATCAAAACTTCGAATCTTCGAAGCTTCGAAGTTTAAATATCGAAGCCTTCGAAGCAAATCACTAGTCTTAGTTTTAACGATTTATATTTGATACCTTTGGCTCTTCTTTCTCTGTTTAGAATATGACAAGCGTAGAAGATTATAACGAAAAAGCATCGAGGAGAGAAAAAACAAACTCTTTGGGAAGAATGTTTAAGCTTGTCGACAAAGATGGTTCGCCCAGGAAGCTTTTTGTCCATCCCCGAGCCGGATCGCTGAGTCGTATACTACGTAGACATCCTCATAATGAGAACAATGGAATTATCGATAAACCTGCGGAAGACACTGGACGTGGAATTCTCTCCAGAATGCTCAACCAACTGAGAGGAAAGTAAAGATTTAAAAAACTTGTTGAGGGAATTTTTATTAGTAGGCAGACGCGACTTATCATTGAAACCTTGTATTTTAATCAGTAATTCTTAAGAATTGTAGTTTAAATATTTTCCTTTTAAGTAAACTTTGTCCTTCTTATTTTATCGGAAACATAGCTGCAACGTTTATAATATTATTATCTTTTTTCGAAATTATAAATAGTAGACTTTACATAAGTTGTTTATTAATAAAATATAAATTACTTATACCTTAAATATAATTATAATTCCATAGATTGAAATAAGAATTGAATAATATATTGTATTAATTGTAGGTCGTCCCGTGAGCGGAACTACCACTAAGCCTGATGAAGACAAGCGCACATACAACAAACTTAATTCTTCATTAGAATTGTCATCAGAAATGCCATTAAATTCAAAGACTACTAATATTATGTAGGCATTATTAATGTCTATAGAATCCGCTCGTTTCTTGGGAGACATTTGTATTAATCTTGACTTCATTGTAATAAAATTTATTTTTAATTATTTGATACATCGAATTTATGTATTAAATGAACACAATCAACTATTCAAAATAAAAAGAAATATATAATTTAGTAAAAAATTTTACATAACTTTCTTACATTTTTATCGTCTTATGTATTTGGCAAATGAGATGGGGAGGGGTACAAAATAAAGCAAGAGAGAAAAAGATTACGGGAAGAGTCACGTTTATTATGCAAGCGTGTCCCTTTTTCATATGCTCGTATAATGTGATATTACGGGACAACCTGTGCCCCTTCGTGCTTCGCACATGTTGTACAAATTCTCAGATACATACTAATATGTATTACGATGTTACGTGACAGAAATAACTGTATGAGTTTGCGAACCGTGTCATTGCGAGGGAGAGGTATGAGAGTCTTTATTCGTGAAGCCGCTCTCGCACAACGAACTATCCTCGCAGCCGGTATAAAATGTATTTACAAAAGAGATTATAGACCTACGCGAAGTATGCGCTTGTGTAAACGTGTCGATTCCTCGTGAAAAAGCGTGGTGAAACTTCGGAAGTGGCGATTTCCTGTCATTTTTATTCGCTTCGAGTACTCTCTTCAGATTCCGTATCGTTTTGCATTGAGTCGTCACGATGACACAACCACATGATTACGCTGTTAAATATCTCGGTCGAAAAGTATCTTGCAATCGATACGTTCGAAATAAATTCTCTTCGTACAGTATTGCCGTCGTTTTTCACAGAGAATCGCTTCTGAGGACGACAATTCGTAGACAAATTCGACGTAAAAAAACTCGATCTTAATATAAAATTATATACAATGTCGCGCCCTGCAGACGTACGTTTCAGCATACGGTACATTAACATTTCGCCCCGCAATTTTGGCACGTACTAACATGGGCGATGAAAACGACATTACTATTAATTCGTTTGGGAAGACCGCATTTGCGCCTGACAGCTCTTTTGTTCTTCTTTCTTGATCAACGATCATGATTTATCACAGAATAAAATAATGCAAAACAGTCCAAGCGCTAAACTATTTGTAAATCTGATGAATTAGAATTCAATGTATGTTATTCCCGTCCTCAACTTCTTTAGATTAAAATCTAATAAATCCTATGATACTTAACTATGAAAGAACAGCGATTGCACATAATTGCTAGATTCTTTGCAAATTATTCACGTGCAGATTTGTCTGCACCTCTAAATGTTATTTCTTGTTTATAATTAACAGTCTGTCGTTATTTTTAAAAAGAATTACATAACTCCTTTCTCTTATATTACTACACAATTAATGTTTGAGTACATTATCATGAAAAATTTTAGATCAGTTAATAAAACGAAAGATAATTTTTGATATTTGTGACGTTATTGCAAATAATCGACTAGACTAATTATAATTTTGACAAAGAAATTTTCATTAGTTATAAATGGATAATTATAACTTCTAATTTAAAGTTATATTAGTTTTTAAATTGTAGTCTACAATTTATAAGAATATACTTGATAACACGATAACAAAATAGAAAATATTTGAGCTCAGTTTAATACAAAAATCTAATTATAAATAATAATCTATTTAACTAAGAATAAATTGCAAATACGCTGTATCAGCGTTGAAGAAACGTACAAGATACAAAATTGTTCAATACTTTACATATTCAATAATGTCAACATTATGTTATAGTTAGGTAAAATATAATCTTCTGTCAGTAGATCAGATCTTAAAATAAATATATAAAAATGAGAAGCTGCAACATAGATATTGATATATAAATTTATATCCCGCGGAATAAAACATTACTAATATTCATCGCACAAAAATATAATAAAAAAATTGTCTTTCTAGTAAACTCTTGTCTGAGTATTAAGTAGAATCATTGACTGTCGAATTGTCTCAACAGTAGTACTTCAATACGTGCACTCTCTTTTTCTATCTCTCTTTCTCTCTCTCTCTCTCTCTCTCTCTTTCTCCAAATTTTTCAGATGTAAGCAATAATATAAGCGACAAGAATTGAAGTCAGCGGAATTGCTAGAATTTAATATCGCTCTCTTCGTGTCTTTCTCTAATATGTCTTCCGCGAATAAACTGACATCGATAGCTCTCTGCAGTAGCATATCAACAGCACAATTACTATCAACCTGCATACGTACAGTTATATAAGATTATTATACAGATAATTTCGATGAATCAGACAGAATTTTTATTAATCCGCCGAATATTAAAAAATTTTAAATTTAAAAATATTAAAAATTACACTTTCGAAAAATTTTATTTAAAACATATGCATACTGTGTCTTAACATATATATATATTGACTATTACAATTTTTTAAATTATTAGTTATATGCACAGACTTCCATAAAATAAGAAGAAGAAGAAGAAGTCTGTGGTTATATTTCATTGACGCTCATAAGCGAGTAGCGGATTAATATAAACTCTAGGTAGCGCTTATTGTAAAATGTAATTTTTAACAGCCCTTGCAATCGTTTATAGATTTACGGTTCACAATGTGACCGGTGTAAAAATGCTTATCCAAAAATACAGCATCGATGAACACGAAATTCTTTCTCCTTTTTTTCTGTAAATTTCATCCTTTTGAAGAATCTGACAGAGAAAATTCAGCAACCCTGATTATCAAACTAATTGTAAGTTCACTTACATTGTGCAATCAATTATGTTTTACTACGCTTTTAACGAGAATACAAAATTAAGTACATGTATTTGTATATCGCCGCAAAAGCGACATTGAATACTAGAAATGATCATTCGATTCTTTTATATATCCTGCGAACGGTCACCGTTGAGGATCAACTACGAATTGCAAAATTAAGGCCTATCTATTTGAAGCTAGCGGGAACTGGAGATTATCGCGATGTGACGGTTATTTATACATATAGGTGTATTCATTTATGCAGCGCAGAGAGTATCATTTAATCCTTGTTTAACACTCGGTGAACAACAAAGATAAAGTAATACTTCTAAGCGCTAACCGCTGCATAAATGAATGCATTTTATTTGTGAAGTTCTATTGCTTTTTAACGGCGATCACGATTCGCGATGATAAGAGGAGATAATACATAGCTTCAATCGCGATTATCGATTGATTACTTACATACACGCGCATACATCTACACGCATACGGACATATACACATGTACTCTGACTCCTTCAAAAAATGATATGGCTTCTACGAAAATGCGAGTTTCTTGTTCCCACTGATATCGTTTCGCTCATCTCAAAAAGAAGGATCGATTAAAAGCTCCGCACACCCACACCCGCTCGTCCTTCCAATTCTTTCCCCTAGATAATTCGTTTTAATATTAACATTACTACTTATTAAACCATCATCTAGCACGCGTCTCTTACATGGCTCTTAAACGGACGGTTTGCTATTTCGATAACTCAATCAGCATGATTGTCGAGTGTTTTGCATCTCGCTTTTGCAACGGATCGCTTTTAAATTTTATCTAACCATACTACGTTTATTCTGCAAAAGATAATAAGACAACGTAAGATAACCTTTTGTGCGTCCGTTTGAATAGGACGCGAAATATGAACAAAGTGTTATTGGTGGTAATCTCAGAAGAATATTTGCATCGGGATGAACCAAGATACCATTTCGCAATGTCTGCACGATCCAATCGATCTAAAATACTGTCTTACATATTGCGACTTAACAAAGACGTTCAATAGACTCATTGCGGATGCGATGTGGTTCGAGGCCTCATCGTGACACAACCAGTGGAATATGCATCTTTGCACTCGTTATAATATACGATCTACATCTATCAACATTGCGCGCCTTATCAGTTTTCCTGCTACTTATATAAGATATGTATACATGAGTTATATATTAATAAAGACATAATCTCTCCGACCGTAGCACAACGCGTATAAAACATTGCGCACGCATTTGATTCGTAATCCCACACTTGGCAGCATATTCGGTTTGACATTGTCTTTTTGCATCCCCTTTGATATTGTCCTTTACGGCACATTCTTTTTATATTTTTCTGATATAATTATCTTAGTCGTGAAATTATTCTACTCGTATCACGGATTGAACACGCTTAACTTCGATATGTAACTGATACGGAAATAAAAACACGTGCTCAGCCATTGCTTAATATAAAATTCTTTTTAGAGATTTTTTTTTAACTAATTATCTCCTCGCACGCGATCTAACTAACTTCTAAATAATTATTCTTGCGCTGTTTGCTTTTGCCTTTATTCGATTTAGACTGTCATTTCTTTGCTTTTATGTTTTTCTTTTCCATGGAAACTTGAAAAATTTTGGGGATTCAAGTACCTTTGGAAAACGAGATTCGTGTTTGTTGCTATTGATCGTTGCTCCTAACCAGCAATCGAACCATCACATCCCTGATTCAGCTATTCCTTCGTCATCTGCAAAAGAGATTAAATTAGGAAAAATTCGAATTATACATAATTGCTGTTTGTCATACAAACTACATTGTAATCATGCTCGATAGAAGCTACATTATTATTTTTGTGAATGCAAACAAATCTATATTATTTTATAAAATTATTGATTAAATATAAAGATACTTTTGATATAAATTTAAACTTAAAAAAAAAACATTCAAATATTCTTACTAATTAGAAATGTTGTGACAAATTACGAGTAATAAATTCAATGTATGTTGAGCAAAATATTAGTATCGAACGTATTGATAAGGCAAAATTAAGTCAAATCTGTTACAAATCAATTTATTTGCAATTTATCGATCATTTTAATCATTGCAATTATTCCATTGAAATTTGTACGAAAAATTGTAGTAATTAAGTGATATAAATATAGACAGATGTTCTCACCGCTAACACACAAAACCTTATCAGTGTTTAGTGAAACATATTGTTATTTTGTTCTCACATGCAACGTAGACAATTAGTATATAAATTTGGCATTTGTGTAATAGTATCTGCAAAGTATAGATTCATGCAGGGAAGAAGAAAAGCAACGATCGAAATTACCCTCGATGCAGGAATCGCTGTTCGAAGGTCACCTCTCCTTCTCATCCTCGGCAGGACTCTTAGTGCTTTCGACCGAACTTCGATTCTTGCCTGAATACAAAGGTCGCAAAAGATTGCAGAAAGGAAGGGTGTGAGTTACTAGGCGGAGGAAGTGATAACGTTTTACAAAAAGGGTTTTACACCATTGTTTACAATCACAGGGTAAAATAACATGTGCTTATAGCCATCACCACTGCCTACACCATAAATAACCAATTAACTTTCTTTTGAATATCATATTTCTTTTCACTTTATAAAATATTCTGCTATATTTTCATTCATACTTTTTTATTAATAATAATATTCGCGGTAAAATATTTAACCTATTTTCGTGCAAAGGAAGACTTTGTATGAGAAAACAAGTGACAAGAGAAAACAAATTACAGATATTCCATTTAGAATCCCTTCCAATACATGCACTATATACTGATCAAATCTCTTCAATTTTTTAACAATTGATTATGTTTTGATTACCCATCGTGATGCATTCTCTAAGTTGTACTTCGTCATTGATTACCCAATTTGTCCCGCAATTGCCCAATTAATCTCGTGAAAGTAATAAAATTTCAGGACATACCTTCGAATCCCTGATTGTCATGAATCTCTCGTGGTGGTCCAGTAGTGTCTTGTCCTTCCAGAACGGCCAAAAGACATTGATGGATACAGATATATTGCTGTTCTGTCTGTACCATCCAGACCCGCTCTTTTCTCATCACCCAAACGATCCCGAAGATATCGACGTACTTCGATACGAGAATTTGTTGCAGTATTCTGTCTAAAGTGATGAAAGTACCACTACGACCTACGCCAGCGCTGCAATGAACGACTATGGGCCTCTGATCGGGCCTGACTCGTTCCCTAAACGCTCGCACGAACCTCGCTAAAGTTTGCGGTGGACTGGGAACGCCGAAATCCGGCCAAGTAGTAAAATGGAAATGTTGTATCACTCTCTTCACATCACCCTACGACATATTATTTTTTTATCTCATTCAGGAGATTTTGAAAATTCAACCACCAAGAGATGCTTTGATAAATTACATACGCTTGAAAGAGTTTATTAGAAAAACAATTACTCACTCTACACAACATAAATTCTGTGATACTCCAATCCGGATAATGTGTCTCGTTGAGTATCGTGACGCAGATATCTCCATAATAAACCGGCAAAGTATCCATCGGCCAGTAATGATCACACTTTTCTCTGCCCTTTTCGATACATCTCGTTAACATAACGATCGCTCTACTGTTACTTTCCCATACCATTCGCCAGAAATCATCGCGAGTCGAATGTAACGGTCCTTGAGTCACAATAAACTCTCGTGGCGAATTATGACCCTATTACATACAAAAAGTATATAGTAAAGTATGTAATAGCTATTACATCATAAAAGCTGTTTTTATTATGAAAATTAATTATTAATTATTATTAATAATTAAATTATTATTATGAATTATTAATTAAATTTTTTAAAATGTTTAAATAATTTTAAATAAGGTCAGTTTTTAGGTTTTTACGTACCGGAACATAATTGGCGTTGATGTAATCGGAGCCCTCCTCATCATCGACAGGTTGAAGTTTAAATCTACTATGATCGTATGGAAGAATATTTGTGAAACGATTCTTCGGTCTATTACAAGGCAAATCCGCCGCAGTGCATGGTTGGTCTCTTCCGACGTGCTTCAATTCTTCAAACTCTTCCGAAAACCGGAAATCAGAATCCGCTGACATTGTGCGATAATGCTCGGCAAAATCTTCGACTTTGATGGGCCTGCTAAATGTAACAATGAATATTATGTTGTCTTATTGTAAATATTTCAAATTTTGATTTAAAAAAAATTTTTAATGTAAAATTATTTTCTAATATAAACCATTTTTATAATTAAAACAGATCTCTTCAGAATTAATATTTTTCAGAAAATAAATAAATAATCAATTTAATAATAATAATAAATAATAAATTTAATAATAATAATAGTAATAAATAATAAATTTAATAATAATAATAATAAATTTTTAGTCTTCAGTTTATCTTAACAAATTAATTTAATGTTTGATCAGCATAATATTTAAAAATGGAGAAAACACAAGAAATCGTGTATAAATTTTTAAAAATCGGCTTTAAGTTAATCGATAACTGAAACTTATTAATACTACACTTTAGGCAAAAAAATATATATTATAACCATAATGCAAACTTATTGTTATGATCTTAATTTGGTAAAATTGAGGTAAAGTATTGTAATTTCTTGGCACCTAGTCTCAATGACGCTGTCCGGCAATGATAAATTATCGGTTGCCCTGGTTTCTGTTGTCTTGCGACCCTGACTTCTTCTCCTTCGCATAAACAGCCCGATACCCAATAGAAATAGCAGCAATGCTATGGCGACGGTGACACCGACTATGATGGCCGTGTTGTCCTTATCTGTTCGACACGCACAGCGAATTTTTAGTGTTTCAATGAGTCAAATGATCACCAAGAATAATCACGTTAAATACCCAGACAACAAAAATCAGGTAAGACGTTTTTTGCGTCTAAAAGACAACTTAAAGACGTCTTAAGTCATAATTTTTGATTTTGTGTTGTTTGGGTACATTCATTCGTTAAAAAGATATCACATTTATCACGCGGCGTGCTGAAAGCTTTGAACTTTAAACTTCCATTCCGAAATCTTACCTGCCAGCAGCAATCCTTGGGCAGACATGTACACGAAATAACGAGGCATGAATTTAGCGAGGCTTTCACTACATGCGCAGTGTGCCTCTATTTTACAAACCAATTATCGCATCGAATGCATCGTTATTATCATTATTATTTCTATAAACTTACATATATAAGTAATAAATTTTTGTTACGTCATGAAGGAGAAAGATAAAGAGAGTGAGAATGAAAGAAACATCAGATGCGATAATGGCACGCGGTTTTTCTCACGTCTTAAAACTTTTCACGCGATCGCTCTCACCTGTTTGAATAGGGAAGCTGTAGCTGGTGTCCGTAAATTTATCTGGTGCTGTAAATGCACGTACTTTCACCCGATAAGTAGATCCTGATTTCAATGGTCCATTACAATATCCAATTTTGTTGTCGCAGTTCTCGGAGCCGATCGTGAAGTCTTCCACAGACCCATTTTTGAATGGATAATATGGCTCCATTACCTAGAAAGATTTTATTATAAGATATACGTTATAAGATATACAGTAATTTTTTTATAATCACATTGAAATAATACGTAAACATTACACGTATCTATTCTGACATAGTATTATGATCTCGTATGTATAATATAATAATTAGTTCATATAAATTCTTTTTGAGTGCTAATTAGATCAATTGCTATCCTAATTTATTTATCGTGAATCTTATTTTTATATATCCAAATATTTTACGATTAAGTTTTTCCACAAAAGAAAATATTTAAGTAAAATAATTACCTCTCTGTGATTACGAATTTATTATATTATATATAATATATTGAAATAATTATATATAATGAAATAATTATATATATATATATATTATTTTTATAAACACCTGCATAAGCATCTTCTTTGTATTTGAAATGAAATTGTTTAAAATATCCATCATTGCATATCTTGATTTTGTTTATAATTAAAATGTGATTACAATTATTTGTGCCATATATTCTACGATGAATTTTGTTTTGCTTTGCTACGCAATTCCTTTAATGAAACGTTAATATTAACATTGATAATATCATACGAAGAATCAATTATGAAACCGCAGTCGATTAGCATAATATCCGTTGAACAGTTAAAATATCACGTGATTTTTGAAGGTTGATACAATCTGCTGCACTTTTGTGCAGCAAAAATTTTGTTATTTTTCCATTAATGAAAGAATAAGAACACAATGTTGTTTTTCAATTAATGAAAGAATAAATAAGAAGTCTCATAATAAAGATATAAAAAATTGAATTAAAACACATTTAAAGTTTTATGAATTCAAAGTGCACCATTTTTTTTACAAATTTTATTAGGTTCAATTTACACGCACTACTTTTTTTTCTGCGATTACAACAATATGTAAAAAATTAAATACGATTTCGCGATTTAACTATTTAAAATGTCTTTATCACGATGATCACATCTGCACCTTTGTAGTTTCAGATCGCAACTAGATTATGGGTATCCTTCGTTCCGCGAATCATACTCTGATGGCAGTCCACGGACTGTGATTATGGATCTGCGTCATAACGCATACATTTTACGACATCTGTCCATGATCTTGCAAGTCAATAAGTACAACGTGACGTCGTCTGATGCATTGATTATGTTAAATGATTTGCTTTACCGCCTTCTCTTGACATATTGTATACAAATTAAATTGAGAATGACATTGATTGTTGCAACAAAAATATTTTTTTGTACATTTTTTGTCGATAAAATTTAATGCTGCATTATTTTAGAATATTCATTTTACATAACATATATTTTACAATTTGCCGTCAATTGCTCATCTTACAGACAGTTAAACATCTTACGGATAGATTTAAAGAATTAGATAGATTAAGCAATTCGAAATTTGATACAATGTCTGAATGTTTGAATCTTATGAAGAAACTATTTTGTCTCAATTAAATCTGCATGTTTCGTCATTATTTAGAAACTATGTAATAAGTGAGCAATAAAGTTTACCTGATAAGGTGGCCAAATGCTATAAGCCTGGACGTCCCTCCAACTGGGCATCTCTAGTCCGGAAGCATTCTTGCTGTCATCTTCGGCAACAATGATGCTGTACGACATGACCGCTCCGTTCTGTTCGCTGAAGTAGTTTTTCCTAAACCTGATTTGAATTGTCGTGCTACTTTTACAGACCTCGGTCGGTACCACTTGCGTGGACGGCTTCGGCGGTGCCAATATCGGCATCTTCTGCTTCCAGACCGTCTCAGGACCAAAACCGATCTTTGTCTCCGCTTGAATCCGGAAAATATAAGTCTTGCCCGGTATGAGGGATTTGATGACACCACGGAACTCGGTTGGCCTGAAGTCCTGCATCTGGGTATGAGTCGAGCCCTAAAACCGCGAGAAAACATCTGTACAATTTAAAGCGCCGTATAATGTATTTTTAAACGTATAAAGAATGTTGCGGTACGTTCCGCGTATTTTTTTAAGCTTTCGATACCATAACTTATACGTAAACGCAAATTTTTCAAGCATATTTTAAATGGATCTTACTTCTAAACCATAAGTGATGCTAAATTTTGTAATGATGCCATTTTGCTCTTGGCTCGGCAGAGACCATACGAAGCTGATGTCGCTTGGTTGAATGTCGATAGGATGAAACTTCTCCACCTTTCCTGGATATGATTCGCTGGTGGTAAAGCTGGCGCTGAGTGGATTCGAGACTCTCAAGTAAGAGGATTCTGTACCCGAACGTACAACCAATGTGAATGTATAATTTCTATGCGGCTTCAGATCAAAGATGGTGATCACGTTGACCGAGGTTATATTTTGGATGTAGTTCCCTTCCGTATTTATATATTGTACTTCAAAAGTATCATACTCTCCATGCGGGATGTCCCAGGTCAAAGTGATCCTCGTATCATTTATGTCGATCGCGTGGATCGCAGTGATCGGTTCAGGATCTAAAAGTTATATTTATCTTCGGGCTAGTAAAAAGAGATGACATGAACAAATGCCTGCGATCGTTATGTGTGAATATTAAAAGATTTTTGTTTGCATAGATAATTATCTAACAATATATGATATGCGATATAAATATTAAATAAATATTATGGCTATCATAGAAATAATGCTGGTATAAAAGATGAAATGTACTTAATTCCTTCACTGCGATCTTTTTATAATTAATAATTGTATGTACATAATTACAATGTTATATCACAAAATATAATACGCAGGTGTAATCTCTCCAAAAAGAAATATAATGATACCACGCTACTAAGTGGATTATCTGCGAATTCGTACAGTCTTTAGGTACGTTACGTTAGATACGGGAATAATATCAAAATTTCATTCCTTTTTATTTTAAATAGCTTAAGCAAATTACACGCATGTAAACCAATTAGTATATAATCTTCGGGAATTGCGCTTTAACTCTCGTTGTATTATGTGGATACTCACAGAGTCGGTCTTGCCGGAGGAGAGGTCTGCTCTCCACATTATCGCTTACTGTCCAAACAGTCACGTTATATAATTTGCCAGGTGTTAATCCAACAAATGAAACTTTGGTATCAACGTCATCCACCATACGCTCCTTCGTGGTGTTATGCTCATCGCTAATCCTGAATCGGTAGAGATCAAACCTCGAGGATTGAATCGGCGTCGGTGTATATCTTAATGTCAATGACCCTGGTTGATCTCGGTCGACTACTACGACGACCTCGGACTGGATCAGTGGCACTAAATTTCAAAGTTTTTGTTTACCTAGTTACCGTCGATCTATTATGATTGCCCTTAACTGTCCGTTAGACTTCGAACGAAATCGCTAAGCCGATATAAAATTCTAACACACAAATATGATGTAATAGAAATATATAGTAAAAGCACATGAACAAGTTTAATAACTGACAGTTAAGATGTCGCGTATATCCATTAGTCATGCACACATGAAGTTTGTTAATGCACTGTTAAATAGCGGAAAATAATGGATACATTAATATGACTTCACTCGTCATCGCTGATGAATGAAATCCATACACTCACTCGTTCTTGTGGTTAAATTGGTGATGTCGCTGACTAGATCATACGAGATTGTATAGACGACGAAGAAGTACTGTACTCCAGGCATCAGGTCGCTCACCAAGATCTTCTCGGTTTGCACAGTGTTTTCTTCGAAACTGATATCGGGTACATCGTTAGTCTCACTGACGTTCTTCGTCCTGGAGTCCTCTGGGTTCTCTACTGGCCACCATTTTATAACGTAGGTTTCGATGCGACCCTCAGATCGCGGCCATTCAAGAGTTACATTAGTGGAGTCGATAATAGGAGTGATATTTAGAACTGGATTAGGCCCTTAAAAATGATAAGGAGATATATTTAAGCTTGAGTCTCAAGTGATTGTTAATTATTTCAATCACATTAATTATTATCAAAAAGTTATGTAATAATTCATAGTATACTTACTGACTGTGTGATTCACTTGTAACGGATACAAGCTTTCAACACCGTAACTGACGGTGTTCACTTGTATGGTATATCTCTCACCGGGTGTCATATCTGCCACTTCTGCTTCCGTGTCACGAACACTAGGAAGTTTGACCCATCTGGGATCGTCTTCTGTACGATATCTGATGGAGTATTCGGTAAATATTGAGTCTGTCGGCGCTTCCCAATGCACAACAACGGTATTGCTCGTGACTTTTTCGATACTGAGATTCTTCGGTGGATGAGGCACTAGAAAGTAATTCAACAAATCGTTAATAAATTAAATAACTTTCATGGTTAATGTTGAATGAAAGAAAATTATGTTATTTCTAGGAAACTGGTTAAATTTATTACTTACGAACGGCTTGCAAGTAGTCGTGCGGTTCGCTTCGAAGTCCATGACTAATGGCAAAGACTTTAACTTCATATGCTGCACCAGGGTAAAGGTCTTCCAAGACAATATGCGATTCCGTAGTCAGAGTAGTTGCACTTTCACCAGTGTCATTTCTGTTGTGGGTCACTTCGAATTTCTCTTGTTTAGAATTGACGTCACTTTTCCAGGAAATATTTAAACCTTTTTCAATAGGTTTCAGATCTTCAATTACAGGACTAGCAGGACGTGTCGCTTGGTATAGGACGGTTTCGTTTGACTCGACTTTATTGCTAATCGCTTGAACTATTATGGAATAATTTCTTCCAGGCAGCAGAGCTTCCAGCGTAACCTATCGATTTAACAGTTATGTCAGACAAGTAGAAAAAACGATGGTTGTGCAAAATCTTTCTTGTTTTACAATAATGCACTTACCTTTGTTTTATCAGTCGTTAAAGTATTACTATCACCACCAATCGTTGTTTCCACTTCATGATACTGTAGCTTATAACTATCTTGTGTACTGGAATTTTCCGGACTCCAGGAGACTTCTACCATACCGGTTTTTTCATCAATCACCGCTCTGAGATCGTGAACAGGTAATGGTTCTACAAATATGAATGAAGAACAATGCAATAATTAATTACAAGCATGCCACCTTCAATAAGTACTACGTTAAGAGGCGGGAAATGAACACATACTTAGAGTGACATCTCCACTAGCCGGCCAACTGGTGACTTTGCCAGAAACTGTTTTTACTACCACTTGATATGTTTTGCCAGGTTCCAAGTCCTTGAACTCCCATCTGTTCTCATCGTCTCGATTTCGCGTGACTGGCGTGAGCCTCCGGTTACTACCGAGCGATATTTGATACTTGTCAAACTCGGATGTTCCATTCGGAGGGTTCCAAAACATGCGAAAGGAAGTCGATGTTACAGAGGATTTGTCGAAGGTCACGTTGAGGGGACGCAGTGGTACTGTACGATACTGGGCCGTAGTAGGCGCGGATGTTTCATCTTCGGAAACCGTCTGCACGGAAATGTTATACGCTCTACCTGTAAGCGGAAATGCAAACAATTTAGAGAAATAAAATTTTTACTATTTTAACACAATTTTTACTATTTTAAAAGACGTAATACATTTATTTTTACATCTTTAAGAACACATTTAAAAAGCGAATAATTTCTTTTCAAAAATTTTTACCATTAGAGTTTTTTTTCTATTGCAGAACTTATTACTTTCTAAGAAACACCGCAGATATTAGTTGTGATAACAAATTCCGTTGTATATTTTTACAATCAGAATTAAATATACGTATGTTAAATGTAGAAAAATTTTTAATACAAAATTTAATTAAACTCAAATAAGTGCTTTTGTAATTATTTTTCTTATTGGTGTGTGTGTGTGTGT